AGGCTTTCGAGCCTATACAGCTTGGAGTAAGACAACATGCATGAAGAGGATGATGTGGACAAAATACTCATTTGCCTAATAATTCTGCACTCCCTGTATAAAGTATATTGTGTTTATAGCTATTTGTAGCATCTGTGATACAGCATTTACTCACCCAACTAACACAATCTCTTCATTTTTATCATGCAAAATAACCACAATTTGTTATTTTTTCCATACATGTAACCAAAACTTTTTTCCCAAAATCTATTGGAGACAATATATAAAATGAACAATATCTGTCTCAACATATGACATATTTATATATATTCATCTTTGACAACAACGTCTCTGAGATGAGCCCTGGTAAAGAAGATAGAAAGTTATATAACATTGAAATAAATGTACCTTGAATTTGGAGTGTAGCACAATCAACTGAATTAAATTCACCGCTGGTCATTTTTAGTATATTTCATATATTAGTATGGTTAATGTAGGCCCTGTTGTTTTATATTGTCAAAGTGAAATGACACTAGTTTCCTGAACTATGCTATTTGCTTATTATAAACTAATATTCACATTAGTTTTGGCTAAAGGGACACAGCTTAACAAATCTTATTTTTACATGGCTGTGGTCTTTTGGCCTCAGATAGATTCCTTCATTTTTATCATGAAAAATAACAACATCTTGTTAATTTTCTGATATGTACCTATGAAACATATCAGTTTTCTTCAGTAAAAGTAAAAATAAAGAAAATGAAAAAGAAGAAAATAAAGTCAAGATTTCCACCCAACAAAACATCATGTAACGCTATAGTGTTGTGGTTGCTAGGCAACAGGAGCAGGCCTAGACCAGAGCCACTGCAGGGACTCACGGGCAGCCTTTACTCCCTAATGTTGATTTTAAAAGCTTAACATTAGAAATATTTTAATCCAGGAGGAAAGCGTGAGCATGTTTACTGGGAGCAGAAACCTCTGGGCCCCTGTTGATGCTCTACGTGGTTATCCTCCTGAAGACTGTTTCAGAAATGATCAGATCATGTTTTTAACATTTATTCAACTCTATTCTAAACACCAACTGTATATTGTCTTAGGGGCCTACTACAAAAATAAAATCATTCTAACATGTGACCTGGTTTTTTTTGTTCAACAATGTTTGTTCAATAATAATGTTGTACATAATGTTTGTATTAAAAGACGATTTCAGACATGACTATTTATGCTTAAGTGTATGAAGCTTACTATACACTGTGAATCAGATCATGTAAATCTCTGAATGTTAGAAGGCAGCTTATAATGACACATAGGTTTTCTCTAGATTTAAAAAAAGATTAATATAATAGTCAGCACCTCTAGGTTTGTAATGGAAAGTCAGTGCAGACCAGTATCCGATCGTTCAGTCTGACGTCACTAGCCGTGTCTGGGTCTAAACTCCGCTGCAGGTCCATATATCAAACGATCACTATGGCATTACTGAGAGTTGAAAAACTGTCTAAAGTCTTTCATCTTTAATAAAATGATCAGCGTTCTGCTCTACCAGGTGTAACAATTGAGTTTATCATCCAGGCATCCATGAAAACGGAATTTATGACATTTAACGGAGTTAGTTAGCAGGACGTTAGCTCGCTTCTATCTAAATACAATATAGCATGTCCTGACTGCAGGGTTTTGGAAACAAATTAAAAACGTACAGCTCTGCTATCACTTCCAACATAAATGAAGACAGAAAACTAAACAGCAGTGACGTTTGTAGGGTTACTGAAGTTGGGCTAGCTGGTATATAATGATTTGCTACGTGACCGCTAGCGACACAGCTATGTTAGCATAATATAAACAAGCTAACTTTTTTCCACTCAAAAAAGTTAACGTGAGTGTTCTCGGTGGTCAGGAACAAATGTAATCGCATGGCAGGATGCTGTAAAAGGACCAAACTTCAGCCAGGAGAACAACTGAGATAATACATCCACAATACGAGGTTAGTCATTCATATACTGCTGCATGGGCTGGGCTGTAGTTACATCCTAAGGTTTTAAAAACTGAGCTTAAATAAATGATTAGCGGTAATAAAAGCCGAGGGAGGTCAACAGGGATCACTCACTGTTTTAGGAGCTTTTTGAGATCAAATAGAAGAAAATACATTAAACATGTTAACAACACAAAAGGCATATTAAACGCAGACTACTTTAGACCCGGAAGTAGGATTCGTCACGTCATCACTGATACTCTGAGTTAGCGATCCAAGATGGAGGCACTGAAATTAAACAGTAGTAAAACTGTAAACTTGTAATCTTTACTGCCATCGTAGTGCAACTCACTGAATAAGCCATATACAGAGCACTGATCAGGCTCAGTCCATGAATGTGTTTTTAAGTGCAGAAAACGTTTATTATGCTGCATTGTAGTGATGCCTGAATGGCTCTAGCTTGCTAAGAACGAAAACAAATCCTGTTTTCTTTCCATCACTTACCTTGGCATCATCATTAATAAAAACCAGTCCTCTAGATGTTCACTTAATTTTATTCCAATTTTGCATAAAACACAAGATAAACTAAATACTTGTCTCCAGAGTTTTATCACCAGAGCGGAGGGATTATCTCGATGGAGCTTTGTCTCTTGATGTAAATAAAGAAACCCTGGTGGATATTGACAGACTCCTTTATAACTTTATATGGAAGAATAGAATAGATTATACTAAGAGATCAGTTGTATCAAACTCAAACCAACATGGTTCCGTAAACTTGACTTTTCTACAATAAACAGTGTGTTTAAAATAAATTGGATCAAGCAATTTCTCAGGAACACAACATCAAGTTGGTGAAAACAATGGTGGTGTTGACCTTGTTTTACTTTGTAACTACAACATTTATAAAATCTCCTTAAAACTGTCCTAATTTAATAAACAGAAACAGAAACAGTTGCTGCTTTATAAACACAACTTTTCTCCACACAGATATGATATTTGGAACAACAGAGACATTTTATACAAACACAAGTCTTTATTTTTAGGCGACTGGTTTTTTCATGGGATTCGTCTTGTTTTGCAACGTCTTAATCCAAATTTAGGTTTCATTTCTTACTCTGAATTTTTGAGTGTATATGGTCTTCCTGTTCCACCAAAGGAATATGCCATAGTGTTTGATGCTATCCCTACTGGTGTTTTAAGACTGTACAGAAATTCTGTTGTTAATGATCTGACTCCTCTACAACTGGATCCTGCTGTTACCAGATCTGTTTTCACCTTAAAGAGGAAAAACAACCGTGACATATGAACTCTTTTTCAGAAAGACAGAACTGGTGTCCCAGTGGCCGTAAAGCAAACATCTTTTAAAATCATTCATCATTTTTACCCCACCCGAACTTTTCTTGTATAAAAAGACTGATGTCCAGTGTTCATTTTGTAGCCGTCAGAAAGAAGATAGTTCACACTTATCTTTGTGCTGCTTATGCACTTCTCTTTTCTAACACGATTTTTGCACTTTTGTTGTTCCTTTTATCTATTCTGACTTCTCTCTGTGTTATGAAAAAATATTATCTGGCTTTTCTGATTACCCTATCAATAGGCAAAACGAATTTTATTTCATTAATTTACTCATTTTACTGGTTAAATTTCAAAGACATGAATCCAAATTTTCTAACGCAAAACCGTCTTTTCAATGCTTTATGAATGAAAGCAGACAATATTTTAAAACTATACAACAGTCCCATAATATAAAAGCAATTCTTCTGCTGATTCAACCCCAGCCTGCGTTTTTAACCCCCCGACAATAAATTCTGTAATGTTTAAGTGCGTTCAACGAGAAAAAAGATCCCGCAGTGACTTCCGGGTCACGTCTTTCAACATCCTATCAAAGCGTCGTGACGCTGTGGGCATACGTACAGCACGCGCTGAGCACAACTGCTTGTGCAACTGTCCTGCACGTTGACATTGAAACGCTCCGAGAGACCGCCGCGCTGCTGTCGTCTCTCACAGGTCAGTGATTTAACCTGCTGTTCATTATGTGACGAAACTAAAGCTGAATATGTCCGCTAACAGTGGCTGCTGGGTAACGTTAGGGCCACAACCATACCTGCTGTGTTTTTACTCTGTGTTGTTGTTAAGTCTTATTTGAAAAGCCGAATAACTCGAACACGAGAGCGGCGTGGAAGTGGGCTGTAACATGATGCTAGTGATATTAGGATAACCGGGCGGAGGCTAGTTTTGACCCGGTTAGTTGCACTACAGCTAAACCTGAGGTTACCGAGGGCGACATCAGTCAGAGTTAGCGATATAACGAGAGTTTTAAATAAACACACGACCTACACAGCCCACTGATCACAGCATTAGCCCAGCTGTGTTACGGCTGAGTGTCCACAGATGATCTTTGCCTTTTTCGTGTTTAAATCCTAATGTCCTGGGTGTATTTCTTCCCCTGTCAGACAGGCTAACATGGGATCCTCCTGGTCCACAGCAGAGCCCTCTGTAGTCAAAGCTGAGGCTATGAAGACCGTCTCTGCTCAGCGCTGCCCAGTGCAGGAGGAAGCTCAGCCTGTCAAAGGTACTGTAGTTTCATTACAGTCAGGATGTCATAGCGTGAAATGCTGGGCCGAATTTCTTCTTCCAAATTCTCCTTTGTAAGTGCAAGGTGAAGATGGCATGCGATTTGTGAAACAGATATTTTTTATTGCTACTAACTGCACATTTATAAAATACTCTGACGAATGTCGACAAGCCAGGAATGGAAAATCTGATAATCACTCTAAAGAGGCATCAGTGGCTGTTAATATGTAAAAACAAATACTCAAAAAACTGTCTGAATACAGTGAAATCCATATCGACAAGCTGCTGTAAGCCAAGCTGTGGCAGAGCAGCTAGCATCAGGCTGAATGCTTAGAAAGCAGAGAAGTTGCAACAAAACGGTGAATAAATGGAGCCATCTTTCCTGCACAGACTCCAGAGCTCAGTGGGGGGTTCGTGGAAAGTGAATTTCTTCCATTGTATGAGGAAGATAACAGGTTTATCATAAATGTTAGTATATTGTGACACCCTTAACTCGAGCAATTAAGAAAAGAAACGGCTTGTGTCAGAGAGAAGGTCCTGTGCACACAGATAGTGTTTTACTCCCACAGAAAACTGCATTTCATGGTATTACATAGGTCATTAGCTCTCATTCTTCACTGTTATCATAAACTGTACAAGTTTTACTGAATGATGTTGAATTATATCTTGACTGTGGTTGTGTATTTGTGTTTTTCTTAGCATCTCCGCCTTCACAATGTCCCATGCATCAAGCTCAGGCTGAAAAAGGTAGGGACTTCAGTCTAAAGGATAGCCTGTGGCTTGCCTGCACTGCAACACATTTCTATGTTCAGATGGTTGTTTTAATGAAATGATCAAACCTGTGGCTCGCACGTGTTCTCCTGCAGGTCCGGCCCACCAGGATCAGGCGTACAACTTTGTGGAGTGTCCCATGAGAGCTGCAGCAGTCACGAAGGGCGACATCGATCCAGCGAATATGGTACCTGTGCAGCTTGGAGCAAAGAGGCTTTATTCTAGAAGTAACTTTTATGTTTTAAGCTACGGTTGCCTGATCCTTAATTCGTTTTAGTTCTGATACACTGGCCTCGTTTGCTGCCACGCACTGTTGTTGTCTGCGGTGGCTCTAGTTTGTGTGCTCGTGTATTCAGCCAGCTGACAACAACATGTTAGTGTTACTTCCAACAACACCAAGCACAACAAAAGAGAAGCAGCTTTGTTATGCGAGCTTTTCAGTTGTTTCAACACTTGACCACAGGTATGAAACACATGTATGCTACACTGACCATGTTCTCTCCTGGAGGACTTATGGCTGTCATGCCTGACATCTTTTCTATGTTTTCAGGTCATGGCTCAGACTATAATTTATCTTTTTCCACACGTGCAGATGCCTCCTCCCAACCAAACGCCAGCTCCAGACCAGCCCTTTGAACTCTCTGTCAGAAGAGAGGAGTCCACTATCCCACGTCACGACACAGAGAAGAACTGGGTGTACCCGTCGGAGCAGATGTTCTGGAACGCCATGCTGAGGAAGGGGTCAGTTGGCTGGTGTTAAGACTACTTCAGGCTACGATATTGGAAACTATGAACTTCTATTTAGTGTCTCATTGAACCTCAAAGTCAGTGTTTTTAAAAATGCTTGGATTTCACATATCAGTAGCTTTAATTATTGCAGTAGCACAGTGATGGAGAAATATCTGCTAAAGACACTGTTTCCTTTGTTCGATCCTGTGCTGCAGGTGGCGCTGGCGAGATGATGACCTCAGCAAAGGTGACATGACCAACATCATTAAAATCCACAATCAGAACAATGAGCAGGCCTGGCAAGAGATCCTGAAGTGGGAGGCTCTGCATGCTCGGTGAGTGCGTACGATCGTTTGCAGCGAGCTGCCTGTTGGTCAGAGAATTGAGCCTTAACTGATGAACATTTACCTCGTATAGTGAATGTCCATGTGGACCAACTCTGAGGAGATTCGGTGGGAAGGCTAAAGAGTACTCCCCCAGGGCCCGCCTCCGACACTGGATGGGGTGAGAATGAAACATCCTGATGCACATTTAATAATTTTGGCTGTGTTATGTTTCTCGTTTGGGTCTGCATTGCCAGCTGCTGGTCCGCTATAATGAAATCAGGAAAATGCGGACATGCCGCGCAAAGCAACCCATGCAGCGGTCCATTAAAACATGATGCATGTAAACCTCATGTTGGGGAAGATCCTGGTGACTAATTGAGTTTGTCTCTCTGCAGCTACGAGCTGCCATTTGACCGTCACGACTGGATCGTTGACCGCTGTGGGAAGGAGGTGCGCTACATCATTGACTATTATGATGGAGAAATCAACAAGGACACCTACCAGTTCTCCACCCTGGACGTGCGACCTGCTTTTGACTCTTTAGAAGCTGTGTGGGACCGTATGAAGGTGGCCTGGTGGCGCTGGACTTCCTGAAGGACTCTGGCTCATATTTGAGTCGCAAATTTTCAAAAACTGTTGTTACCCATTTCTGCTCTTTGTAACTTGTGTGATGCTGACAAAAGAAACGAATCAGACCTCGTAAAAGATGATTGGATGTAGAAGAGTTTGTCCAACAGGTCATACAAGACCCTGTGTGTCTATGAAATCTATTGACTTGCGCTTAAATTTAACTGCTTGCTTGCTTACAGCTACCTGACTCTAGGTAATTTGAACCTCATCTAGCAACAGAAAGTTTAAATGTTTATTTTTCTCAGTTGGGACATTGAGACAAGCTTTAAAACCTGCCAATATTCCTTTATTGGCTAATGGTCATAAACCAGAAATCTAGGAAAGTTCATATGTTGTGTTTTAATAAATCACCTTTTCTGTGTTTTGTTTGTAAACACTGCGTATTTAATTAAACCATTTTTATTGGCCAGAGAGTTTAAACTACCTGTCCAGAATGAATTCAGTCCCCTCCTGTGAACTGGCAGGACCTGGTGTTTGAAACCAGGGTATTAGCAGCTGGTCCTGTGGGTTGTGGTGTGGAGGTCTCGGAGAAAAGGCCATGAAGCAAGCCTAATGACCTAAAGCTGGAGATTTCAGTGACATGGACATGGTTGACTGATGTCCTGTAATCATTATGACGATTTGAGATCCAATAAATAAAATAAGTTTTTGTACAAAGTATCGGATCAGTATCGTCGATACCACCCTGAATATTACTTGGTGTCAGATTGGAAAGAAATTCAGTGGTATCGCACATCACTACCACTGATTTAAGAACACAGTTGTGTGAAAGAAGCAAAAACTTCACTGCATACTCGGCTGTGGATGAAAGTACAGACATGATGGACACTGCACAGCTGACCATCTTCATCCGTGGAGAGGAAATATTGAACATTAAATAGATGCACAACGACAGGAAAAGACATTTTTAAAAACGTATGTCAAAGTGTAACCGACATGAAACTGCTCTGGTTAAGGCACTATGCTGATACGAAGATGAGAAATGTAACAATGACAAACACACGCTTGGAAGTGTTTATAAAAAGCTATAACTCAGAAAATATTGATAGAATTGTATCATGTCTGTATAAGGGTCTAATGGATTTGAAACCACATTCGACTTCATATATTAGAACAAAATGGGAGAAGGAAGGAGGGATAAAAATATTAGAGGAAGAATGGACGGCAATATGGCGGTATCAGTGGATGTGTACCAGCTCACGAAAGTGGAGGGAATTCGGCTGGAAGTGCCTAATCAGATACTTTACAACACCTTCTCAGAAGTCTCATTATGATGATAACGCCCCTGCTTGTTGGAGGAACTGTGGAAATCAAAGTGCAAATCACTACCACATTTTCTGGGACTGCTCTATCTTGAGGGATTACTGGAGAGAAATACATAAGGCCTTACAGGATATCTTTAAATGCGAAATACCCCTCGAGAGTAAGACTATGTTCTTTGGATATATACCTCAGGAATGGCCTAAATATGATAAACATTTAGTAAATATTCCACTGGTGGCCTGTAAAAAGAGTATCACCAGAAAATGGTTATCCCCGGAGAGCCCAAACATAAGTACATGGATGGAAATCACAATGGAAATCTATAACATGGAAAAGATAACAGCTTCTGTTAACCACAAGCTGGAGAAATTTACATCATACTGGGAAAACTGGGTCAAATATATCACGCCTCATAGGCCAGATTTATTTTTACAAACCAATAACTGTGATGTATGAGAGCATATATTTATAGGATCACCCCCTACCAACACATCCGTTTTTGTTTGTTTTTTTGTTTTGTTTTGTTTGTAGGTTTGTTGGTTTTGTTTGTTTTCTTATTTCGGATTATGTGATTGTTTCAATTGCTTCTATAGTTGTAAATATTCTCTCTTTATGACTCGGATGTAAATTAAAATACTATTTCGGTATCTAAGGCAGATAACCTAAGCAAGAAGTATGCTTACATGATGTACAGACTGATGCACATATACCAACAAGCCTGTACATCACTGTGACAACAGCGTCTGTTTTCATTCAAAGGCTTTATGGTTTTTCCTATAATACCTGGTGGGTCGGTCTCTAGTCGGGACGATTTTTTGTCCCAGTGCAGCCCTGGGTGCGATCCACCGGTGGTGATACTTTGTGAGTTCATGATTTAACAATCAGCTCTCGTATACTCAGGCCTGAAAAATTGAAATTGAAAGTGCTATGAAATATTCTTACACATGAGATGGTAAGTCCTGAGTCTAAAAGGATTGCACCGAGTCAATCCAGTCCAAAAGCATAAAGAATTGTTGATGACGTCATCTTGCTGATGATGGATACTCGAATAAGGCAAGGCAAGTTTATTTATATAGCACAATTCAACAACAAGGTGATTCAAAGTAAGTAAGTTGCGCGTGAGACTCCACTGTCAGCAATATCTGGTATGGATGTGTGTGAATGAATGTGTGTGACTGGACTGTGATGGACTGACGATGTGGACTAAAAGTTTTGACTGACTTGATACTGAGACAAAGACTGCACCAACCTTAGGATTAGTAAATGTCGACAAACAATTCACCCAGCCTGTAAGAGAAGGGTGGATGTTTTGTTTTGTTTTATTTTTGCAGGAGCGGGAGCATAAGAGAGGTTTATTGTTTTACTTTTAACTACAACTCGTTTGTGCTTCTATATCTTTTCCCTTCTGGTCTGTTTGTCTTTTGGTAAATGGACTGACTCTATAGCACTTTTCAACTCTCCCAGAGCACTCAAAGCACTTTATACAACATGCCACACACTATGCTTTAATTGCTTTATAAGCATCCTCACACACATTCATCGGAGAGCAACCTGGCATTAGTGTCTCGCCCATGAATACTTGGCACACAGACTGGGGCAGCCAGAGAGCGAACCACCAGCCTTCTGATTATTCTCCCTCTTGAGCTACAGCCATATTTGGTGTTATTGTGACATTTTTATTTTTCAAGTGCTTTATAAATGAAGTAGTGATGGCCAAATGAAGCTTGGGTTGAAAACAGGTTAATTACTCAAAGCTTTTCAACCCAGTCCTCTTTAGTGACATCTGGTGGCCAAAAATATGAAGCACAGCTTAAATCTACAACTTTAAAATAAAGTGCTTTGTTGTGATTGGCCACAGGAGAGAGCTGAGTTGGCAGCCTCTGTTTAATATCAGTGATAATTCTGTGTGACACCAGGCTACCACTGTGGTGCATTGAACATGTAGTTTATTTTGGGTGGTTTTATTTTATTTATTTTTTTAATGTCTATTTGATTAATACATTTTGAGGAATAAACCTTCCTTGTTTAAACATCTGACATGGTGTGGTTTCTCTTCGATGTGACTTCTTGAGATTTGTAAACATAATGGATGAAAAATACATTTTATATAATAATATGCAACAGTCTTACAAAAGGCTGGGAGCATGCTTGTGCTGTAAGTCCCTACATTCATGTGATTATGTAAGTAACCAGTTGACAGGTACATTTATATATAATATATTATAATGAATACAATAATATTACATAGACAAAGAGCTGTTTTGTGCAGAATAAGAGACAAGCAGGTACCTTCAGAGGAATGGGAAGTCCTCGTCAGCATTCATGTCTTTCCACACAAAGTGGGGAGAGAGATTATGTTAAGGATTACATTTAGATGGACTTCTTTAAACACCACTGGACCATCTGTGTCCCATTGAGTGTGTGTGTGTGCATGTAGTTGTGTTCACTTTGTCACTAAATGGACGGTGTGTACTCCACACAGAAATTCTTACATCAGTGTGCAATAACCTGTGCACACACACGAGAGATTCCCCTGCATGTTTGTGTGTGTCTAATTTCTCTGTGGAAACATGTTGCAGGAGCATAGGTAAGTTTTGCATAAACACATCTCAGTGGAGCTTTAAAGCAACGCAGACTTTGTGCTGGCAGTCTATTAAAAATGTTAAACTCTTTAGTTTTTATTTCTCGAACATGTTTAAAACCTCAACAGGTTTGCATCATCTGACATCAGAGAGCAAGACCAAGGTATCTCTGACAAAGGGACAAAAATAGACTTATTAATGATTTCACTGCAGGTTTCATATTATGTAAAACCATCCACTGGTATGATTTGGACCCTTTGGTGTTCTGATTTTGTCTTCTACTCGACAGTCCTGTTTTAGAGGTTATTGATGAAACATTTATATCCTGATGAGAACGGTCTCTTCTACGATGATAATGTTCTCAATCGCAGGAGGCGAGTACTCAGTAAATGGTTTGATGAGGATGAAAATAAACCATGAACTTCCTTCTAGAAGCAAGTTTTACCAAAGTTATTGTTTTTATAGATTGTGAGAGATCCCTAATAAACCCTGTCTTACTTGGTTTAAATCACTAGACTCCAACATTTTGAAATGTTACGGTGTTGTTGCTTTTTTTATGTCTTTTTTATCCTCCCCTACCTCAGATAACACATCACTCACTCATGTAGGGTTTTGAGGGAGGGTTATGGGTCACGTAGGTCACAGTGGGTTGGGACATTCATGTGTGCTGAACCATGTGGGACATGGTCATGGAGGGGATGGGTGCCCCTCTCTCTGGGATACTGCTCCTTGTTGGTTTGGGGTGGCTTGGACCTATTCCGTGCTGGCGGGGGCAGTTCTTTGGCGCGTGGGGCCCTGGGACCCTGTTCTTAGCTCATACCTGGGTTGCCAGACTCTTTTTTATTAGTTGTTCAAACATAAGTAGGTACGAACAAGATATAAAACACAGCAAAGTGACAACAGTCGGCTAAGTAGCGTTGCACAGCAGTGACGTCAGGCCAAGGGCTTATGTGGAGTGGTTACACTGGCAGAGGT